ACCAGCAGCTCAGGGGCCACAGTTACTGAAAACCAGCAGCTCAGGGGTCGGACATCCAGCAATTAACGTCATGATGTAAATAAACCAAGTATTATAATGATCTGTTACTTTTTAAATTTGTTTGTTTTATTGCATTGAATCATAAATGCAATAAACAGAACCCAAACCCAGAACTCGAAAAAATAAATGATTTATGAAATCATTGTTGGTCCGGACCCAAGTCACTGACCCGGAGGCCGTCGGCTGAATAGTCCGATTTATTTAAATTGTTTATAACGTGGGGCTGTTAAAAGTGAAAGAACTGTTGTTTTGTCTTTAGTTTGTTGTTTTTGTTTTACTGATCTTTTTCATCTGCTGTAAAACATTTAATTGTACAAAAAGTGCTTTAAAAGGAAAGACGGATTTAATTTGTTTAATTTAGTTCAGTTAATAAAATAATTTGTTAATTGTTAAATGTCATGTCCAATTTTAAGTAACAGAAGAAAAAAAAAACCACCTTTTTTTTGTTGTTTATCTACTTTATTTTGTTAATTTTTTTACTTAATTCTGTAAACTTGTTTACAATATAATGGTTTGTTTGATTTAGTTAATCAAATTTATTCTGATGTAAGATTTATTTTATTAACATACATTTTGAGTTTTATATTCTTTTTATAAAGACACAAAGATCAATTTGAACTGTTTGTTTATTCGTTTTAAAATAATAATTTTAACTTCCATCCATCCATCCATTATCTTTACCCGCTTATTCCGTTTTTGGGTCACGGGGGTCGCTGGTGCCCATGTCCAGCAATCACTGTGCGAGGGGCGGGGTACACCCTGGACGGGTCGCAAATCCATCACAGGGACACATAGAAACATACGAGACAAACGAGACAAACAACCATTCACTCTCTCACTCACACCTAGGGACAATTTAGAGTTACCAATCAGCCTAACATGCATGTTTTTGGTCTGTGGGAGGAAACCGGAGCACCCGGAGAAAACCCACACATGCACGGAGAGAACATGCAAACTCCACCCAGAAAGGCCCCTGGACCGGGGTTTGAACCAAGGACCTGCTGTAATTTTAACTTATTTTTTCTAACTTTTCCCAAATATTTGACAACAAAAAGGCATAAAAACTTGTCACAATATTAAGATAAACCAGATTTTTGTGTCTTCTTCAGTCTGGCTCTGTGGTTTCTTTTGTGTCTGATGATGTTGACACAGGCCAGGATTCTGTGGTCTACACTCATCTCCAGGCCAGAGATCACTCGTTCAGGGATGAAGATGTTCACATCCTTGATAGAGAGGAACGATGGTTTGAGAGAGGAGTAAAGCCCCCAGTATACTCCTGCGTACATCCATACGCAGAGGTACGCACGTACGTACGCGAAGGTACGAGCGTACCCCCCAGGGCATGTTCGTGCAAAGCTCAATTTTTACGACTGCATACGCGTACGCGGTGTCACACAATAAACTGCCCGGCGACGGACTGTTTTGTTTGCAACACCAATGAATTAAATTCCCCTTCTTCATCCCTGATCTGGCCTTTTCTTTTGTTTTTTTGCCAAGAGGCAGTGATCTCTTCCTCCTCTGTTGATGCCATGACTGAAATGGTGACAAATGAAGGAATTTGTCACGAGCAAATTAAACTCAGGTCCAGCGTGGCTGCGGGAGGGTCTGGAGGATTCCTGGTGGGCTGGTCTGATGTGTGGGCTGCAGGGCCAGCGCTCCCTGTTTTTTGTTGTTGTTTTTTTTAGATCTTTTTTATTAACAACATATAAACACAGAACACCGCTGTGGCTGAGGCTGCCATCGCTTGCTTTTTTTATTTTTTTCTGACCTGTCAATCAATCCAGTAGGCGTGTCAGCAAATGACCAATCGGTGACCTTAATTTGTCCCGAAGGTAAATGCCCCTTGTCTGTGAAGTTGCTTTGCAGTTGCTCGGGGTGTACGCTGGAGTAAGAAATCTGGACCCTCTGCGTACAATACACGCGTATGTACGCATGAACGGACGTACGCGGCAGTATACTGGGGGCTTAAAGGAGGCCATCTTTGTGAAGAGAAACCGTCCATCATTAAACAGGGGTGGAGGCCTCCGGGTTCAACTGTCCCCCCCTTACAATGCTGTTATTGCTAGTATCACTCAGTGAATAGCAAGTGGTAATCAGGGCACTAACGATCGGCCGTTAGGCTGATGGTCCTCCTTGATCATGTGACCAGCTAGTTCTGGATGTCAACAACAACCTGGCTGATCCACTATGAGAAGGCGCTATTTATAAGACTGAGTTTATTGGAGCTCCTCAGACTGAAGAAGTATTTTGGATAAAAGACGAAACATTTCAACAATTTTTTAAATTTAATTAATTTTTTTTAAGAATCCGTCCAAAGGACCTAACTTAACTTTGTTAGATTTGTTCTGTATTAATCTCAATCCCCTTTTTCTCAGGGCGAATGCATCTCTCAACCTGGAGAGCCAGATTAACAAGGTGGATGGTCTCGTCTCTGGATTTGAGAGAAAGCTCAGTGACGATGGTCCAGTCCCTGATTTACCAAATGCGCTTCAATCCAGCTTAGAGGAGATTCAGGTAAAAAAAAAAGTGCACAAGATAAACACGAGTGTTTCACAGTCTGTTACACAAAGGCAGCTTTCCATTCATTATAATCTGAGGGTCTCCTTCGTTGTGTTCAGCTTCAGAAGAAGTCTGTGGCAGCAGCTCAGAGTGACATGAGAAAGCTGAGTCAGGATCTGGAGACTACCGAACAGCTGTGTCGCTCCCTGGAGCAGGGCTACCAGGAGTACTGTCCTGACATCCAGCGCCAGAGGAAGGATGTCAAAGAGCTGCAGAGTCGTTACATCAATGTTGAAAACCAGCTGAAGGAGAGGTGATGCTCAGGCTCTGAACTTGTGCCTAATCAAGACAGAAGTGACAATGCCTTTACTATAACTTAAATCTGTGATACCCTCCTCAGGGAAAGCATGCTAAAAGAGGCATCATCTAAGAACCAGGAGTTTCAAGGAACGTGTAAAAACCTGAACTCCTTCCTGGACAACCTGCCAACGTATAAGAACAACTGCACTGATGATCTGTCAGAAGTCTCTGCTAAACTCAGCTCCCAAGAGGTAAGTCAATGTTCCTACTATGCATGTATACAATCCAATGTGGAGAAGCCTTCCCTTTGTTTGTCGGTGCATTTATTGAATTAAAATTTCTTTCTAAAAATGATATACTGTTATTATGGCACATTAAAATGTTTAATGCTACGTTCTTTACTATAGAGAGTGTTGGATGACCTGAAGAGGAGGGAAGACGACATAGATAGAGTGGCTAACCTCTCTGAAGACCTGCAGAATATACTGAATGTAAGAATTTAAAATAAAGAGAAGCAGCAATCAAATTTTATGACAAGCAGAAAAATATACAATCATTTTGTAGAAACGTTTTTTTTTATTTTACGATTAAGTAAAGAAATGAAGGAAGTCAAAATCTTTTCATCTGTGCAGGAGTACGATGGTTGTGTCAACAAGTACAACAGTACACTTGAGGACGCTGGTGCGACTATTCCAAAGAAGCCTCGTATGCTCACTCTCTCTGATTCTGTTCAGAAAGAGGTAACATATTTTAGCTCCATACACATTTCTACATTGATTAAATACAGAAAAGGTTTAATTAGAGGTTTGTTTACCACAGGAAAAAAAACTAACGAATCGATATGCTGAAGCAACAGCCGAAAACATTCAACGCCAAAAGCAGATGAGCCTGGCCAAGAATGTGCTTTTACAAGTAAGAAAACAAGACACAAATCAAAATAAAATGCACTTTTCACTATAATCATTAAAATAAAACTGCACAGTAAAACCATCCCACATTTTTGTGAATGTGTATAATTTGCTTTTCCTGCTGCAGAACGAAGAAAAAGTTCAGGTGGTGGCGAAGCAGCAAGTACAACTGGAAAACCAGCAGAAGAATGCGTTGGAGTTTGACAGTCTGCAAAAAGAGCTAGAAGAGGAAAAAGAGAGGACAGCTCACACCATAACAAACCTCAGATCCTTCAAAGACAGGATGATTTCACTTAAGAGTCGCAGAGGAGTGGAGCGGGTTGAGGAGAAGGAAGTACTGCAGTACTACAGAGACCCAAAACTGGAAAGTGATCTGGCTACTCTAAGGAACAAACTGGATGAAGAGATCCTAAAGAGAACCACCACCCGGACAGAGGTTGAGGTGATAAACAAGAAAATCGTCAATCTGGAGGACACTATCACAAACACTGCTCCAAAGCTGGTGACTAGGGAAGTGACAGAGTTTGAAAAAGATCCTCAGCTGGACAAAGAGGCTGCTAAGATGAGAGATGAGATAGCGAGGATGAGAGATGAGATTCGAATGAGGGATGGGGAGCACATACAGATGAAGACGGAAGTCACGATTCTCCAGCAGAAGAGACCACCCATCAAAGAGAAGGTGGTTAAGAAAGAAGTAGTTAAAGTGGAAAAGGATCCAGTGATGTTGAAAGCAGTACGAACATTTGAGACTGAAATTTCCGATGAAGGCAACAAGTGCAAGCTCCTCAATGATGAAATCTTCCAGACAAGAAGCCAGATTAACGCACTTGAGAGGCTGATACCCAACATCCAGCCGAAGATCATAACTAAAGAGGTGAAAAAAGTTGAACAAGACCCTGAACTTATCACAGAGTCGAGTAACATCAGAACACTGGTGGAAGAGGAGAAGATTGAAAACACCACCTTATCCAAAGAATTGATGGATCTGCAAAGCCGCTACAGACAAGTTCAAGACTGGAAGCCAAAAGTTGAGGTCAAAGAAATTGTTAATGAGATCTACTGGGTAGACCCAAACACAGAAGTAGAGATAATGCGCCTTCGCAAAGAAATACAAGATTCCAATAAACAGCGTGTTGGTCTTGAGAGGGAGATCACACAGATCACCACAGAGCTGAACATCCTTCGTTCTGAGAAGCCCAAAGTGGAAATGAAAGAAGTTCTCCAAGAGGTGATCAAAGAGGAAAGAAGCCCTGAAATTGAGCGAGAGATTAAGAGGCTAAATGATCAAGTGAACAATTTATACAACCAATATGAATCCCTCCAGGACAAAGTGATCCAGCTCCGAAGAGAGAGAGATGAACTAAAAATGGAAAAGTCCAAGATAGAGACCAAAGTTGTCACCAAAGAAGTAATTAAGTATGAGCCTGATCCACTACTGGAGAAAGAAGCTGACCGTTTGCGCAAGAATGTGCGAGAAGAGGCACAATTGCGGCGTAACATTGAAGAGATGGTTTTTGACCTGCAAAACAAATTCATCATCCTGGAAAGGCAGAAACCAGAAGAGAAAGTGGTTGTGTCAGAGGTTGTGCGTTTACAGAAGGACCCACGGCAAATAATGGAGCATGAGAAGCTCAGCAAGAACCTAGATGAAGAAGTTCTGAAGCGACGTCGGATGGAGCTAGAGTTACAGCAATTAAGAACCAAGCTGGAAGATAAAAGAAGGATCATAGAAGAGAGTGATGAGCGCCAAAAGAGGATACAAGCTGAGTTTGAACTTAGAGAGATTCGACTGCGCATCACACAACTGGAAAATGCCCCACCACCTGTCGAGGAGTGTATAGTTGTTGAGGACGTACTTAAAGTTGAGCGAGACCCAAAACTGGATAGAATGACAAATGGTTTGAGGTCAGACATGGACAAGGAAACCAGCGATATCCTGCGTATCCAGAGAGACATCCGCAATGTCACTCTAAAGCTTGAGATTCTGCAGAAAGAGAAGTCTGGTGAGAAAACAGTGTACAAAGAGGTGGTTCGTGTTGAGAAAGACCAGGCTGTCGAAGCTGAGAGAGATCGTCTGAGGGAGCAGGTATCTCAGAATAAATTTGCTCGACAAGACCTGGAGGATGAAATTAGACGTCTTAATGACAAATTTAACTTTTTGATGAACGTCAAAAGCAGCACTTCAAGAGATGAGAGAACTTTTGTTTCAAAGAGAGATGCCTTATTGAGGGAGAAGGAAGATTTCACACGAGAACTCAGAACATTGGAAATGAAAAAACACGATATCAGTCTGTCATTCCAAACACAGAGTCGACTTATAACTGAAAGAACACAGATGAGCAGACAGAGGAGCCTTAAGATGGAGTCAGATGTTCAACAACTGGAGAGACAGATCTTGGAAGAAAAAGAGCAGATCCGTCAACGAGACAGCGCCATTCGTGAGCTTCTGCTGTACCTGCAGAACGAAGAACAAGTAGAGACAAGAACCAAGGAAACCAATGTCTCCACCAGAATCACCATTCTGGATCCAGAAACAGGAAAAGATATGTCTCCCTTTGATGCCTACATGGGAGGCCTTATTGATCGTCTGCAGTACATTCACCTTCAAGAGCTAGAGTGTGACTGGGAGGAGATAACCTCCATGGGTCCTGATGGCGAGACATCTGTCCTACAGGATCGCAAGAGTGGAAAGCAGTATTCTATCAAAGATGCACTGAAAGAAGGAAAGCTAACAGATTATGATCTAAAACAGTACAAACAAGGCAAGCTGCCCATCTCAGAGTTCGCCCTTCTGGTTGCCGGTGACACAAAGAAGCAGCCCAAGTTTAACTCAATCCCCTCAAAGTCTACATCAACAGTAAAATCACCCTACATAGACATTTCTTCTGCTTCTGAAACATATCCAATTGCCGGAATAGTGGATACAAACACTGACGCCTACTACACAATACGTAGTGCTTCAGTGCGCAAACTGATAGACCCCACCACTGCCCAAAAACTTCTCGAGGCTCAGGCAGCAACAGGTGGTATCATTGATATCAACAACAATGAGAAATACAAAGTTCAAAAGGCATCAATGAGAGGTCTTATTGATGACAGTCAAGTCCAGCGGCTGCTTAATGCAGAGAAGGCTTTCACTGGAGTTGAAGACCCTGTGACTAAAGAACGTTTGTCTGTGGGAGAAGCCATTCAGAAGAACTGGATGCCAAAGGACACGGCAATTCGCTACATGGAGGCCCAGCACGTGACAGGAGGGCTGGTCGATCCTAACACTGGTCGCAGAGTGAGCCTCTTGGATGCAATTGGGTCTAAAATGATTGACAACACAATGCTAAGAGATCTGCAAACTGAGGCAGCCCACATCAAGGATTTCATAGATCCACTCACAAAGGAGAAGGTCAGCTACAAACAAGCTCTGGAACGCTGTAGGAAGGATCCAAAGTCAGGCCTACCCATGTTGCCTGCCTCCTCCAACAACACTGTCCGATTCTAGAAATGTTTACCTTTTGAAGTTATCTGGTCTGTGAAGCATTGTGGTAAAAATGTAAGACTAGATATGAAAAAAAAAGGATTTCATTGAATAAATACAAAGTACATGTTTGACTCATGAGATGTCTTCTACTACAAAGCTTTCTGTCAAGCCAAAATATTTGCTGCTGAGTTGCATTTGTTTACCAGACATGTCTTGTGTGGCAGATTTGTTCCTTTTTTTCTTTTTGTGAATTAATTTAAAAACAGAGTATCACTGCTGTTTAATCCTTATCATTTTTTGTTTTGGGGTATAATGGGACATGGTGCAATGTTAATTGTCAGGATTAATTTGATTCTGTATAACTTGGTGTTCACTTTAAACTCAACATTGTTTGATACCTTTTGAAGAAACATATCAATAAATTTAAATTATGATTAAAGAGTATGAATCCTCCACTTTTGATTCTGAGCTGTTATACATCTACACCAAATGTTTTTCAATTAAAAAAATACCAAATTACACAACATTAGATAATAACCCAGTAACACCATTTCGATGTTTCTTATAACAACTATTAATTTTAGACATCTTAATTGTCAGGAAACAGCGGTATGTTCCTACACTGCTATTAAATGACAAAAAGGAAGCACAACTCCACCCAGTTAGAAGAAAAGCTGTTTCCACAACTATAAAAGAACTGGCTGTATCCATCCTGTAGAAAATATTCACAAACATATGAATAGACATAATGAAGAGTGCATGAGTCTCATAGCTCCCACATACTTGGGCGTACTGTGTACTCCGTGAGCCGCGCGGACACTGCACACGCACTGTCCACAGACGGTTGAGACTTCATACTCAAGCGTACACCCTGATGGGCTACAGCCCTGCTCTGCAGGAAATGGGCGTTTACCTTCAGGACAAACTGATCTCGCCGATTGGTCATTTGCTGAAACGCCCACTGGATAGATTGACAGGTTGCAGAAAAAAAAAAAAACGAGAGCTACCAGCCACCCTGGGTAGAGGCAGTTGGCAGCCCAGTGGTGTTCTGTGTTTATACGTTGTTAATAAAAAGTTCTAAAAGATAAAATATCAGGGAGCGCTGTCCCTGCAGTCCACACATCAGACCAGCCCATGAGGAAATCTCCAGACCCTCCTGCAGTCACGCTGGGCCTGATTTTAATTCTCTTGTGACAAATTCCTTAATTTCTCACAATTTCAGTCATGGTGTCAATGGAGGAGGAGGAATAGATTGCTTGCTTCTTAACAAAAAGAAAAAACAAACAAAAGAAAAGGCCATTAAACCAGATCAGGGATGAAGAAGGAGAATTTACTACATTGGTGTTGCATACAAAACAGTCCGTCACCGGGCGGTTTATTGTGCAACACCAATTTACGTGGTCGTAAAAATTTATCTTTGCGCAGACATGGCTTACAGATGTCTATTTCGAGTCTGCATTGAGTCTAATAGGGTATGCGCGGACCTCTGCGGAGTGAAGTATGCCCGAGTATGTGGGAGCCTTTAATCTGAGAGGTACATCTTAACCAACAGACTGCTGTCTGTGAGGATCCACAACTTCTCCTCCACCATAACCCTTAGCAATGGTTCCCCTCAGGGCTGTGTGTTAAGCCCCCTCCTGTTCACTCTGCTCATATATGACTGTGCACATGACTGTGCACCTACCCATCCAGGCTGCCATATTGTAAAGTTTGCAGACGATACAATAGTGGCTGGATGTATCACAAACAATGATGTGTCCGGCTACAGACAGGAGGTGGAACACCTGGAGAGCTAGTGTAGGAAGAATAACCTTCACATCAATGTGAAGAAGATGAAGGAGATGATCATAGATTTCAGAAGGAACAAACACACCTACCCCACCCTGAACATAGGAGGATCTGCGGTGGAAGTGGTCTCCAGATACAAGTACTTGGGTGTGCACCTGAATGACAACGTCAGCTGGAGTAACAACACTACCAGCCTGATGAAGAGACTCTATTTCCTCAGGCGGCTGAGACGAGCTGGTCTGGGAAGCTCAGTCCTCACTTCCTTCTACTGGTGTGCAGTGGAGAGTATCCTGTGCTCCAGCATAAACATGTGGCATGGAGGCTGCACAGCTGCAGAAAGAAAAGCTTTGCAGAGAGTGGTGAAGGCTGCACAGAAGTCTGCTGGAGTCAACCTCCCCACCATCACAGACATCTACACCTCCAGATGCAGGAAGAGGGCCACCTGCATCATGAAGGATCCCACTCACCCAGCACACACACTTTTGCCCCGCTTCCTAGCAGGCAGAAGGTTAAGGAACATTTAGTGTAGAACCACTAGACTGAGGAACAGCTTCTAGTGTATCTCACACTGGGTCAGGAACGGGCAGCACTGATCAAGTTCCCCTTTAAACTCCTCAGGCAAAGTCAGGTGAGGTTCGTGAAAAGATGACATGCGGTATTGAGGTGAAAGTGGGGCTGGAGAGACCTGAGGAAGGGCCTGTGAGGTAGATAGGTTAAACAAATTGTGATCATACTCATAATTTCCTGCATATTGTCTTCTAATTTTACAATAGCTCCCTCCACACCAGGGCGTCATTCTTGTGTCGGCATCAAATCCGTATTTGGCTAGATTATACTGACATGAACCGTTTAAAGGCTCTTAAATAGAACAGGTGCAGAGCATGAGGCTGATTGAGCTGAGGGTGACAGGACAAGACTAATGAAGGGACAGAAAAGTCACAGTATCGAACACTAACAACTGCACTCTCAGCCACGCCCACTTCTCCACTGCAGAACGGAGATCGACAGAGGAGGAAGGAGGAGGGAGGAGGAGCTGCAGGAGGAGGCTTTTCCTGCTGTATGGGCTGCACACAGGTGCAGCAGGTGCTAAATAATTTAAAATAAATAATTTTAATTAATAATTCCATGCCGATCGTGCGGCTCATCCATCAATCAGTCAACTGTGTGTCATGTCCAATCTTATTTTGAAAAACCGCGATAGAGTGAGTCCGCGCTAAACGAACAGCGAACATGTGTTAAAGACAGAATGTATTGATGGTGACCCACTTAGCAGTGTGCACTCCTGTGGTGAGTGACAGACTTGCAGTCAGTTGGAAGAGAGAACAGGGCTCAACTGCTGTCACTTTGGTGACTGACACACGCCAAGCCAATCACCAAAACCACTTCCCATCCATCCATTTTCTTTACCCGCTTATTCCATTTTGGGTCACGGGGGTCGCTGGTGCCCATGTCCAGCAATCACTGTGCGAGGGGCGGGGTACACCCTGGACAGGTCGCAAGTCCATCACAGGGCCACATAGAGACAAACGAGACAAACAACCACTCACTCTCTCACTCACACCTAGGGACAATTTAGAGATATCAGTCAGCCTAACATGCATGTTTTTGGACTGTGGGAGGAAACCGGAGTACCCGGAGAAAACCCACGCATGCACGGAGAGAACATGCAAACTCCACCCAGAAAGGCCCCTGGACCGGGGTTTGAACCAGGGACCTGCTCGCTGAGAGGCAGCAACTCTACCAGTTGCGCCACCATGCTGCCCACCACTTCCCATAAGAGTATTTTTTAATTAATTAAATTTTTCAGAACAAGACATCATGAATTTATTGCAAAAGTTGGAATCAGTTTGATGGAACTGTGATGGTGTTTAGCCATTTTCACAAAGGTGTCGCAATTCACAACTGAAGTTTATTTTCTGACTTAGCTGCTCGTTGTGGCCTTTATTACTTGGAGCGAACCTGGATTTCATTACAGAACTAAGGCCTTGTTCACATGGAAATACAGTTTTTCCAAAATGATCTTAGCTGTCATTTACAAAAAAATCCTTGTAAACATGAATCCAGTTATAATAAAATCTTTACCTACACAGAAACACCAAAAACAACAGAATATTTATGGTTGTAAGAGATTCAGTTTACCATTTTTTAAGGTAAAACAAAGAATACATAGTGGTAACAATAACTAAGAATTACTCAGAGAATTAGAATCAGTTTGTGATGTTGGGTAATAAAAGGTCAACGCTAAAGTTCTGTGGTTTGGGCCGCATTAACGGAGACAGAAATGTAGACACTCTTCCGAGGTGTAGAATAATAGGTGCCTGTCATGCATTTGCATGGCAGTCCCCAATAACATGAATTATGTGCTGGCATTTCTGCCAATGTACGAGAGGTGGGGGACACCCTGGACAGGTCTCCAGTCCATCACAGGGACACAGAGACAAATGAGACAAACAACCATTCACTCTCTCTCTCACACCTGGGGACAATTTAGAGTTACCAGTTAGTCTAACATGAATGTTTTTGGTCTGTGGGAGGAAACTGTTGTACCTGAAGAAAACCCATGCATGGAGAGAACATGTATACTCCACCCAGAAAGGTCCCAAGCCAGGATTTGAACCATCGACCTTCTTGCTGAGAGGTAGCAGCTCTACCAACTGTGCCACTGTGCTGAGCTAGTTTCAGATAAAGAAATTTCAGCTCAGTGTGACTGTTTTTTTTTCTTGGAGTTGAAATCAGATGCTTGGACAATGCTCTGATGTAGTTCAAATAAAACAGAACCGTTATACAGGTTTAGAGTTAGGCTGCTTTGTAGGTAACTTCTTGCAGTTAACCTGTTGATTGTATGTTGCAATGGTGGTAACAAACAAATTTCAAATTCAAATTCAAAAATACTTTATTAATCCCAGAGGGAAATTATTTGTTGTTGTAACTCGCTATCCTCATTTCATTAAGAGATGTTATAGATGCTGATGGCTGTAGACAGGAAGGATCTCTTGTAAAGGTCCATC